TGCAATGTCATCATCTCACTGTTGTTTTAATTTGCATTTCTCAGATGACTAATGATGTGGAGCATCTTTTTGATGTGCTTAGTGGCCATTTGTGTATCTTCTTTTGTGAAGTGTATATTCACCATGTTTGCCCATTTTTAATTGGATTATTTGATGCCTTATTATGTAGCTGAAAGAACAATCCATATACTCTGGAAAAAAACTTCTTTTACTGAAAAAATTAATTGTAGATATTTTTTCCACAATGTTTCTTTCTACTTGCTTTGTTATTTCCATACTGGTTTCATTCAAGGAGCAGGAATGTTCAATTTTGATAAAGTCCAATTTATCAAAAAATTTCATTTTATGTTTCTTGCTGTTTCTGTGCTACCTGAGTAAGGCATGAAAATATTCTTCAATGTCTTTGATTAGACGTTTTCACAATTTCATAGTGTTTAATTCTGGAATTCATTTCAAGTTAATTTTTGTGTTTGTTGAAAGATAAGGGCTAATGTTCATTTTTTTCTATAGGGATACCAGAATCATTTGTTGAAAAAGACTTTCCCCCACTGAAATACCTTAGTGCTTTTATTAAATATAAAAAACAGTTTCCTGGGATTTCTATTTTGTCACACTGACTTATAAAGAGTGTAATAACATTAGTACTTATATAAAAAATATTTTTCTAGTTATGCTGAGGACACAGTTTTTATGTAGTTTTATTGACTCTTCTTGCAGATTTGTATTATTTTGCAGGATTATTTGGAGATACGGATTCAGGCAGCCCCTTTAGTCTTCAACTATCCCTTCTAAATGAAATTTAGAATCTCTTTAATATGTTCGGTCAAAAATACTGCAATATTANACGCACCCTCTGGTCTGCTTCTGGTTACAATAGATTCAATTAGTTTTTTCATCCATTTCATATAAATAAAATTAAACAGCAAGTATTTTTTTATATCTAGCATATTGCATTCAACAAAATGTTCTAGAGATTCATTCATGTTGTTGAAAGTGAGAGTAATTACTTTTCTTTTTATTCATCAGTAGTATTCTATTGCAAAGATTTGAGGGCACTTCAAAAAGTTCATGGAAAATTTCATATTATCTTTTAATTCTATTTTTCCATGTACCTTCTGAAGTGCCCTTGTATAGCACATTTTATCTATGATTCACTGGGTGATGAACATTTGGATTGTCCAGGTTTGGGGCTACTGTGATTGAATCTGCTTGGTCTTCATGTGGACATATTCCTCCATATGGTGAACACATGGAGTGACACTGCTGGGTCATTACTTCACATTCTCACCAATAGTATTGTTAGTCTTTTTAAGTTTAACCATTTTAATGAATGTGCAATGTCATCATCTCACTGTTGTTTTAATTTGCATTTCTCAGATGACTAATGATGTGGAACATCTTTTTGATGTGCTTAGTGGCCATTTGTGTATCTTCTTTTGTGAAGTGTATCTTCACCATGTTTGCCCATTTTTAATTGGATTATTTGATGCCTTATTATGTAGCTGAAAGAA